CTTCCAATCCTTTCCTTTATGTGAAGTTGTACACATTGATCTTTTTTCTTCTGTGGTTTCTTCCTTTGATTTTATGCTTAGAAAGCTTCCCTATCCAGACATCAAATAAACATTCACCAAGTTGAATCTATTTTTAAAATGCTTCATTTTTTATATTTGTATCTAATACTCTGGCATTTGATTGTACTTTGAAAGCCTTTAACTGCCAAGAATTACACAAGATGTGAACAGTAGTTCTTCCCAGGTGGCAAGATTATTCATAATTGCTTTTTCTTCTTTCATGTATTGCTTTTACCAGTGAAAAAGTAGATGTTGTTTAAACCAAAGCTGACCATACTCTTCCCTTAGATCCACAGTCAGGATCAGCTCTGGGGCACGGAATGGGGAGAACCTAGCTGAACCCTTGCTCATTCTCCTCCCTGGGCCTCAGTTTCCTCCTTGGTAAAAAGAGGGGTGGACTGGTGGGTCCTTTCTGGCCCAGAAAGGTTCTGCACCCTATGAAGGAGTGCAGGCTGCCAGTGTTCTGTTGGGTTTGGGCCTAACTTGATGGGAGGCCATTCCTTGCAGGCTGCATTGCCTCCCCAGCCTGATTAAGATATTACACCTTTTTAGAGAGGAGGGGGCCAGAAGATTGTGCACAGAGAGTGAATGCCAAGGAGGTGGAGGTGAGGGATTGCCAAGGTGGAGGTTAGGACCTCCAGCAAGGGGTGTCCATCCAGCTGGGACCCAGAGAGGGAGAGCATTGTATTGAAGACATGGCCTGGGGTGCAAATGAAGGAGCAATCTGGTCTTCCCCTAACCACCTGTGTGATCTCCAGGCTTCTGTTTTCTTCATGTAAAAAATGGGGGTCATTGTACCTGCCTCATAGGGTTGCAGAGGCTTCAAACAGATAAGATGGGTAAGGTGTTTAAAACAGTGCTACGGTGGTAATATATAAATGTATCAAATCAACACAGGGTACACCTTAAACTTAGACAATGTTATATATCGATTATATTTCAATAAAAACAACAAACAATGCCTGATACCTGATAGGCAGCAAATCAATGCTTCTGCCCATCCCTACCCCTTTTTTACCTCTTTACCTCATCCCTGCCCTCATCACCTTCTCATCCCTCCTCATGCAGTCCTCCTCCCCCCGCTTCCTTCCCCACTTCTCCTCCCTCACTGTCTCTTCCCCATCTCTCCTCTCCCCTTCATCCCCTCTTCTTTCCCCTCCTCTCTCTCTCCCTCTCCCTACAGAATTGGCTCTAGGTAAAAGATAATCTCCCTGACCCACCTGTTCCAGCACCTTTGCTCCAGGGGCCCTTCCTTCTGCCTGGAAGGCTTCCCACCCCTACACTGGCTATGGCCTTCAGCCTTCAGAGTTCAGCCCTAGCTGCACTTCTTCCCAGCTCTCCCTGACCTTGATGTCTGCCAAGTGTCACTGTCACCTGCTTAGCCACTTGAGTCACCAGTCGTCGTCACATTGCTTTGCTTGCTAGAGCATCATCAATCTCCATTTACCAGTCTCCAAGCGCCACGAGGGCAGGGACTTGTCTGCTTTATTCCCTGTGTCCCTTGTGCCCAGCACAGTATCTGCACTTCATAGGTGCTCAATATGTATTTTCAACAAATGATTCCACTTTACACCAGAGTGAATGTAAAATAGAAAGAGTGAGCTTTGGAAACAGACCTGTGTTAGAACCTCTGGCCCTAGATGGACAGTTTGACTTTGGGTAACTTATTTACTCTCTGAGCCTCAACTCTGTCATCCGTAAAGTGAGAATAATGTGTACTTCTCTTGTGGCTGCTGTAAAGGTTGAGATCTTTTTTATATATCAAATACCCAGTACATAGCTGGCACTGGAACATTATTTCCCACCCATGTCCCTTTCAAATTTCATTTGCATCGTATTATAGAAGTTGTGAATTAGTCTATATTTTGAGGCCCAAGACTTAAGATAATTCCCAGTTTCCTGGGAAATGTGATTTTATACATCTGTTTAAATACCCAGGACTGGTCATCAGCAGACCTGAGTCCCTCTCCCAGTTCTGCGACTACCTAGTTGTGTGACACAAAGTCAGAGTGACTCTGAGCCTCATGTGTCTTAATCTGCAAGCTGAGGAGTTTGGACAGGATTATACCTCCATCCTGCAGGCACTGCCCTTCTGGCTTTGGCTCTTTCTACTTCACAACTGTACTGTCATTTGCTTATTATACTTTCTTTAAAACTTGGCCTTAAAAGAAAACTTTATATCACTACTGTAAATGTCATAAGTACAAGGTAACAACAACCAGTAGAATGATAATAAAACAGTGTGATAGAGTTCTTGCCAGATCCTAACCAGCCAAGGCTCAGAGAGTCTGAGGCCTCCTAATACTTTGTAAAGAAGGGAAATAAGCACATGCTAGAGAAAAGTAACATAGTAGCGCTCAAATGAGACGTTCTGCATTCTCTCAGAAGGGTCATAGGAGTTGGAAAGGGCACAAGTGAGTCACTGTCATTTGGTGCTGTGTGTAGGGGTAGCACTGAGCCATTGGGGGTACCCCTGGTACCCTTTTCTCATTTTGGAAAACACCAGACTTGAACATAGACCTGGAAGGGGCCTTAAAGGACATCTGCCCCACCTGCCATATAGTAGATGGGTGAGCTGGGCTAGGTGTAGAAATGGCTGCTCGTGCCCTTGATCCAGAGTGTAAGGATCCATGCTTGACTGTGCTTGTGCTGTGGCAGATCGATCCCTGAAACACAGAGAACTCCACTGTTGTGCCCGTGAGACCCCAACCCCCACCACTGCCTTCAGAGACCATAGTCAATACTCTTATTTTAAGTCCAGTTCTAATATATTTGTGCATATTTTGGAGTGGCCCTCTGAAAACCCGTCACTTTTTTTCTTTTTTTAGAAAAGAAAAAAAAAAAAAGAGGAACAGGGTATGTCCTTTCAAAACACTCAGGTTCCTCCAAAACATTCCCTTATGCTCTCCCTGATTCCATTTCTTCACATTGGTCAGACTATTTCAGAGCCAAAAAGGAGTTTGGGGTATGGAATACATTTAAAAAGAAAGATAAGCTATGTCGATGTATAATTGATGTATAAAAACACAGAATGTATTTAGTGTATACAATTTGATGGGTTTGGAGTTGTGAAAACACCTATGAAACCATCAACCACAACTGAGATAATAAACATCTGTCACCTCCAAACGCTTCCTCCTGCCCCTCTCCCCATTTCTATTGGTAAGAACACTCAGTATGTAAGCTGTAGGCTTGTCACATATGGCTTATATTATGTTGAGGTGGATTATACTTTCCGAGGTTTTATAAGTGACAAAGAAAAGTTGACAGCAAAGAAAATATTTGGTTCACTTTGGAAATTTTACTAGATTGTAAAAGAGATTAAAACAAAACATAATGTTTTAATTCCCAACCAAAAAAAAAAAAAAGGGTTATTACATAAGTTATTTAGAAAAGACTAGGTCTTACAGGCACCAGAATCCTTTTGTTCCTCTCCTTTACTTGTACTTTTCTTCCCTCAATCCTGATCACCCTCCTCACCTCCTGCCCTCCACCCACATCCCTGAGTGACAGGTCCAACCTCTTGGCCTTGAATTACCTGAAGTTACTTCCAGTTGCCTCAAAATCGCTGTGTTTGGTGTACCGCTTAGCTATTGCTGCAAAAGCCCACCCTTCCCCAACTCCGCTTTTTAAAATAATGGGCACTTATTGTTGTTTGTGAGTGTGGATCAGCTAGATGGTTCCTGGCTTGGCTTGGCTCACTCACGTGTCTGCTGTTAGGTGAGTATTGAGTGGAAGCTCTGCTTTGCCTGCTCTTCCCACCCCTGATTTATAAAGCCCTTTTTGTTGAGGTGGATTAGAGGTATGGCCTTCCTCAGCACCATTCCCATGTCTTCTCCTTATACCCCAGCTGGGGTCTGTCTTTCACGGCTCTCTCAAAAGAAGGTCGGCATGGGGGACTGCTCATGGATTAACATGAATTGCAGCTGAGTCCTTTGCATTAAAGTCCACCGTGGTTTGCCCTTCTAATCATATGTCTCTCCGTTCCCGTTTACCTGTTGTCCCACACTGATCTGTGAATTCCTTTTATCTTGTTCATCTCTCTGAGTGATAAGCTTTTGAGAGCAAAGGCATTGCCTTTTCTTTGTCTTATCACCAGCTTCTAGCCCAATGCATTGTACACAATAGGTACTCAGTAAATATTTGATAACTGAGATAAATGAGTGAGTGATTGAATGAAGTTATTAATAAAACCAGGGAGGAGGCAGAATGAGATCCTGATGACCTCACATGAGTAAATAATAAACTGAAGTTTCCCGTACTTAATATTTGTCCTGTCATTTTAAGCCCAGCGGAACCTTAAAGGATGTACAGACATGGTCTGGTGGGCTTCATTCCTAACAGTTCCAATTTTCGTTGAAATTTTCTTAATTCATTTCAGCAGATGCTACAGGTTTGCCTTTGGTTGTAAATACTTGGCTTCCCCAAGAGAAGGCTATAAAGGGGGTTATTAGCAAGTGTACCCTTAGAGTCAGGTCATGAGGAGTCTTAGAGTTCTGGTTTATTTTCCCACCTGGTTCACTAGACTTGGATCCTAGTGTTTTAGAGGCCCCTCCCTCAGTTTGCTCAGTTCTCCAGAATCACACTCACTCCTGTTGACCTTGTGTGAGTTACTTAATGCCAGGGAACACAGTGAACCTGAGCTGCTATCTCCCTGTGAGTATGAGCAGCTATTTCCAAAATTAAAATAAAGGTGATAGTGATGGCTTCTTGGCCTCTTTTTTTTTTTACAAAGTGTCAAGAGGAGAATTGAATTAATGGATATTTAGCTAATAACTGTCCTGCTGGCATAGAAAAAGAATTTACAGGTAAAGCCACAGAGCTTCGATATTGACAGCTATACTTTTGAGAGGGAAGAAGGCACCAGAGTTCTCGATCATCACGTCAGCAGCCTTTCTTGGTCCCTGGGGAGCTTTAAAAACTACTGACGCCTGCTCTTTCCCATCTTGTAAGATGGCAGGACAAAAAGCCGAGAAGCTGGACACTAAGGAGAAGAAACCTGAAGCCGAGAAGGCTGATGCTGATGTAAGATCAAGAAGGGTAACCTCAAGGCCAAAACACCTAAGAAGGGAAAGTCTCACTGCCACTGAAACCCCTGTCCTGGTCAGAGGAATCAGCAGATAGTCCCAAAAGGCCACGTACAGGAGGAAGTATTCAGCAGCTAAATCTGAGATTAAAAAGAACGAAGGAGCTGCATGCTACTGTCACAAAACCAGTTTGGGGTGACAAGAATAGTGGCATCACATCTTGGGTTATAAGCTCAGGGCTTGGATCAGAATCAGAATGCAAGTCTTCTGAATGAGAATCTAAAGCATTTTCTCTTCTGCCCAAGTGAGTTTAATTTTCTTCTTTTTCACTGTTTCTTTCGTAGGGGTTCAGCTGTTGCAAAAATAATTGGTAACAATGTCAAGAATCTTCAGAAGTTTGCCTCCACGGTCAAGATGTGGGTCTTTGAAGAAACAGTTAATGGGAGAAAACTGACAGACATCATTAACAGTGACCACGAAAATGTAAAATATCTCCCAGGACACAAGCTGCCAGAAAATGTGGTGAGGCTGTAAGATGAGAAGTACATTTGGTTAATTCTGAAAGTTATGCTTGGCCGAGTCAGTGCTTGGGACTTAGGGAAATACAAAAGCTCCCTCCCTTTTCCTCTGTTCCTTTGTCCTACCTAGTTCTTTGCTTGGTCAGTGCTGGTTTTCCGGACTCAGTGAATAGGCTTTGTTGTAGTTTGCTAGGGCTGCCATTAAAAAGCACAATCAGCCAGATGATTTAAACAACAGACATTGATATCCTCACAGTTGCAGAGGCTTCAAGTCCAAGATTAAGTTGTCGACAGGGTTGGTTTCTCTGAAGCTCTCTCCCTGACTTGTAGACGGCCACCTTTTCCTTATGTCTTCGTATGGTCTTCTGTGTCCTAATCTCTTCTTATTAGGACACCAGTCTGGTTGTATTTGAGCCCACCCTAATGACCTCATTTTAACTTAATCACCCTTTATCATGACCTTGTCTCCAATTCTGACCTATGAATTTTTTGGGGGGACACAGTTCAGCCCATAACAGGGTACTTTCTTGGCATTGAAGTACAGGTCATATCAAATCTGGAACTAACAACCTGCCTTGGGCTGCTCGTGTCTCCTGGTAACTCCTGATATACCCTTTCTAAGTGTGTGGGTTGTGATCCACTCACTAGGACACTTGACCCTGGTCTGTAATTAAAATCAGAGTCAAGACCTAAGTTACAGAAGGGGATTGGAGAAAATAGAAAACTGTCAGACCGACAGTTTAAAATTCAAGCTTATTGGGTCTGGGAGAGAAAAATAAAGGTTGTTGCCTCATTTCAGTAACTTGCAGGGGATGTTAGAAATGAGCATGAGGAAGAAAAAGATGTTCCTCTGTTGCTTGTCCGAGTAGAGTTTATGAACTTTTGTGTCCAGCTTCACCCCTTGGTAGCTTTCTGTAACTGTTCGAAGTCCAGATCATTGTGGCTGCCCAATTCCTGTGGTTAAGCAGCGAAACTCATCTCCTTTGTTAATGAAATACCCATGAAGACTTGTAGTCACTCACCAAACCTTTATGAACAGGTACTGTGCATGCAGAGTACAGCATTGGGTGCTGGAGGCAGAAGGAGGAATAAGATGACCTTCTTTTCTCATGAGTCCAGCAGAGGAGACAGATTTGTAAACTGATAAGTGCCAGAAAGTTTGGGTCTGCAAAGACCTTGCTCATTGAAGATTTTTGTTTGGCTTTCGGTTAGTGTTCATTAGTGTCAAGCACTGTGCTAAGTATATTGTCTCATTTAATGCTCTTAACAAGCCTCTTTAGGTCTGGTGAAGAACAAAATTCAACCAAGTAAAGTTGAAGATCTAGTTGGCTTTATGAAATGATTCTTGAATTGGGCAGCATTCCATCTAACAGCTAGAAGGGCGCTGGGAGGAGTTGTACAAAATGGAAGGTTTTTATAGGCCGAAAGAGGATGGGGTCAGAGTAACTCATAAGAGTGGATTATTTCAGGCAAGGTCACCTTCCCTTATAGGTAGGCAGGGGGTCTCATCAGGCAGATTATGTCAAGTGTTGATCAGGAAATTCCAGACCAATTGGTTTAAAATTCTACTCCAGAGAGAGGCTGAAACTACAATTAGGTTATTAAGTTTTGGTTTGACATGGCTTGGCAAAATGACCCCATTTTGGCTTGTTTCTTTAAAAAAAAAAAAAATCCAAGTTGGTACTATTAGTTTGCCTACTATGATGATGATTCTGATTTTATAGGTGAAGAAACCATGGCTCAGAGAGGTTAATGAACTTGCCCAAGGTCACATAGCTAGAGGCTAGGGTTGAAATTTGATTCCTGATGGATTCATTCCTGAGCCTGCTGAATCCATTGCCTTCGACAGTGACTTTCTCCTCTATGTTACTGAACTAGGTCCAGGCAGCTTTAACCCATGCTTATTCTTGGTGCTGTTGGTGGGGAGAGAAAGGATCCCCAGGGCTCTGAGCTTGGAAGTTAAGTTGTCCAAACATCTGGTGGAAAGATTAAAGGGAGCAGCTGTTTCCACTGCAGTGCAAGGCCTCTGAGGTCACATCTGATTCAAGCCTGGAGTAGAAAATTCCTCTGAGCTTCACTTCTCCTATCCCTATCAAAATAGATTGCTCCTTTCCTTCTGTAAACCACATGCTTCATTACATGTTCTTGACACTCTGCTTTGTGACAGTCTCTTATGTATCTATCCACCCCAACCTGCCCAGAGTACATGAACTTGACTTTTTCGACTTTTTGTTCTCCCATAGTTCCTAGCACAGTGCTCAAGAAATGTTGGAGGAGGCGAATCTGCCACATGGTTCTCTGAAGTTCCCCTGTGCCATGAACAGGGGAGCAGGAAGGGAGGAAGAAGGGAAGGAGTCGACATAGAAGAGTTAAGAATCTTAAGCCTTAAAATGAACATATCCATTCTCTGGAGTGGACGTTTGCACGGTTTCCCGTTGTCTGCTGTGATGGACAGTGCTCCCGGGAACAGCCTTGTACATGTCTCAGCGGTGGGGTCGCAGGGTGCCAGGCAGTGCATGTCTGTCATTTACGAGATCACACCACTGGTTTCCAGGGTGGCTGTCTACGCTCCCCAGCAGTGTTTCAGAACTCACATTGCTCCACATGCTTGCCATTGCTTGGAGGAGGATACTCAAGGTATTGGAAAGTTTTATTTCTTAAGCTGGTGAAAGGTACACAGGTGTTGATTTTTTTCTTTATACTTTCTGTATTCTTGAATTGAACTTACAAAATGGCGCATAATAAATAATTTCCAAAGTTGAGAGACGGCGAATTGTGAAGGACACACCCTTAGAGTCAGAGAGCCTGGGCTCTAATGCTCACTGACTGAGCCTGGCAACCCCACTCCTGGTAAAATGGGCTGGCTGTTCTTGGGGCCTTACCCCTACAGGGGTTTTGTGAGGAGTAAATGAGATGGTCTACATAAGTCGTTTAATGTTAACCATTCATTAAAAGCCAGGGGTTTGTTTCGTCTTATTTTTGTATGTTTATTTCAGAGTTTTTCCACATATCTCAGTCATTTAAAAAGTCAGCTAGTGTTAGACAAGAGCAATGTTGTTACCATTATTTTAAGGTAAAAAATCAGACAGAAACATTGGCTCATCTAGAGCAGGGGTCCCCAGCTGGCTGGTCCATGGCCTATTAGGCACCAGGCCACACAGCACCAGGTGAGTGGGGGGGGAGCAAGCGAAGGTTCACCTGTATTTGCAGCCGCTCCCCAGTGCTAGCATCACCGCCTCAGCTCCAGCTCAGATCATCAGGCATTAGATTCTCACAGGAGCACCGGTCCCTGGTGCCACAAAGGTATGGGACTGCTGATTTAGAGCAAATGTGGATCTGGAACTAAAAAGTTAGCTTTAATCATTTTTATCTTAGGAATTCAAGCAGGTAGAGACTTGTTACATTTCCATCAACCTAGGATTGTTATTTATGATGTCAGTAGATGTGCTGCCTGGAGACTATGAGTCTTTTGTGCTTGGGGCACCTAACCCGCTGCCCGCCTAATCCTTCTCCAGATCCGTGCTCATCTGATGACCCCCTCTACGTGGGAATTTTTTTACCAAAGATGTCCCCAGGTCAGCACCTGCTCACTGTAAGCTAGAACAATGTGGGTTTTCAATTTCTTCTTAGACCTGAATGGAAAGCACACTGATTTCCCGCCACTGTAAGATAAAAATTGTTGATCTCGTTTTATAGCTCTGTCCAGGGCCTGAGTTTAGCACTTATCCAGCTGGTGAGCTCTTCTGCCTTTTTGCTCCAGCTTTCAGCGAACCTTATTGTGACACCAGGATTTATGACTGCAGCATCCTCTATGAAATATAGTCGTCATTGCCTCTCATCTCTGTCTTCTAAGCCTTGCCACCTCTTTTTTTTTTTCAACTGCTTTACTAATTCACAGACCATACAATTCACCTATTAAAGTGTACAATTCAGTGGTTTTTAGTACATTCAGGGCTGTACAGTCATTACTACAATCAATTTTAGAATATTTTCATCACCTTTAAAAGAAACCTCATTCCTTTTAGCAGTCACCTCTTATTTCCTATTCTTCCCTCTCCCCGCTGCCCCCGCCAAGCAACCACTAATCTACTTTCTGTCTCTAGATTTGCGTATTCTGAACATTTCATGTAAATGACACCATACAGTATGTAGTCTTCTGTGACGGAGTTCTTTCATTTGGCACAATGTTTTCAAAGTTCATCCACAGTCTAGCATATATCAGTACTTCACTCCTTTTTATGGTTGAATAATATTTTATATTATGGCTATACCGTATTTTGTTTATCCACTTTTTGGCTCCATGAACAATACTGCTGTAAATATGTACAGTGTTTCGTGTGAACATGATTTCAGTGCACTTGTGTGTATACCTAGGAGTGCAATTGCTGGGTCATATGGTAACTGCGTAACTTTGAGGAACTGCCACTATTTTTCCAAAGTGGCTATACCGTTATACGTTCCTACCAGCAGTGAGGGTTCCAGTTTCGCCACAGCCTTATCAACTTATTATTATATGACTTCTTAGTCCTAGCCATCCTAGTGGGTGCAAAGTGGTATTTTGTTGTGGATTTGATTTTCATTTGGCTGGCGGCGAACAGTGTTGAGCATCCAATGTGCTTATTGTGCATCCATGTACCTATATTCTTCGTTGGAGAAATGTGTATTTGGATCCTTTGCCCTCTTCAAAAAAAATGGATTATCTTTTAAGTACTGAGTTGAAAGAATTCTTTATATATAGTAGATAGAAGTCTGTTTTTGGATTTACAATTCAGAAGTATTTTCTCCCTTTCTGTGAGTGTTCGCTTTCTTGATGTTATCCTCTGAAGCGGGAAAATTTTTAGTTTTGAAATTCAGTTTACAGGTTAGTCGTTCTCACCGACTCTTCGAATTTGGCTTCTGGCATAGGCCTGTATTCACTACTGTTTCTTCAGTACCTAGAGTAGTGACTGGTGCTATTTGTGGTCTAAATGGTTGCCAGGGACAGTGGAAGTGGTGGAGGACAAACTGGAGTGAAGAGTGTCGTTTCAGTGCTTTAGGTGGTAGCCTATGCGAGATAAGTTTAAGCCAAAACAGTTTTTAAAAAATGACCATTTACTTTTGGTTATGTAATAGGGTTGTGATAAAATCTATTAATTTTGGCTAAAAGGCTTCTGAAAATTAGAATATTGAGAACCTCACCATTAACTCTTTCCTCCCTGGGTTTAGCTTTTTGAAAATTGGAGGAGAAATCTTCAATGGTGCTCCTCAAATTTAAGCGTTGCTCAGAATCATTTGGATTGCTTAAGGTGAATTACTGGATCCAGGCTGAGAATTTGTATTTCAACAAGTTCTCAGGTGATGGGATGCTGTTGGTTCAGGAACCACAGTTTGGGCACCACTGTCTACATAATAAATTTGTATTACTAGTAGTTGGGGAATCCAGGCACTTAACAGCTGTCTTTTTGTTTTTTAGAAGCAACCTCATGTACCAACATGCCATATTTATATAAGAATCATCAGATAAGGTTGTCTGTATCTGAGGCTCATTCTTCTGAATGTGGAGCCAAGGATGTGAATTTCACCTATGATCTTGGCAGAAATCGAAGTTAGGAGAACAGGAGGGAACCACAGTATTTTTGAACCTCTACTGTGTGCCAGCTAGTACTTTGCCGTATTTAACTCATGCCATTGAGTTTAATCCAAGTCCTCATTCCCTCGAGAATGTAGTTGAGTTGCTGCGGTGTCCAGTTAGCTAACTGGAGAAAGAGCGAGGCCAAGATGCTCACACACTGCACGGTGATAACTAGTCCAGGAGGCTACAAAAGAACCTCCAGGCTTGTCCACACAGACTTTACTGGGTCTGTTTTAAATGACTTTATTTATTGTTGATTTTTTTTATTAACTTAGATGAAGAGCCATGGATTTCTGAAAGTCTGAGCATTAAGTAGGCCTTAGTTCTGATTGGATTATTTGTCCTCTTTGCCAGTGAAAGGTAAGCCCTTTTATTCTGAGTTGTCTTCCCCAACATATTTCAGGATCTTTAATGGTAGACACTCTCAGATTTGGGCAGGACCCCTGTGAAATAGATCTGCATTTCCCAAGCAGTGTCTTGATTTCGTTTAGAGTAAAAGATGGGATAGAGGCCTAGCTAAAGGATTTATTCTGAGAGAGAGTATTCAAGTTAACGTGTTAGTTGAGGAGAGCTTGTTGTGATACTGCACAGGAGGAATAATGTTCTGTGAATGGACCGTGTGCTCCATTGAAAATCAGCTCAGCTTACACGTTTCCACGTTGCTGCTGTGGGTTAAACTCTAAGCATTCTCCCACGGAGAGTAGAAGGATGTCTGTACGTGGTGAGCGAGTCTCCAGACTATTGTCCTAGAGACACGTCACGTTCTCAGCCAACCCGGTCAACTGCAGGTTCTTCTTTGATTTAATGACGAAGGAAATGTAAGAGACAGGAAGAAATCTGGCCCAGCGGGCAACTTCCTCGCGAATGGTTTTTAACAAGGGACATGGGGATGGGCTGACTCCTGAAAAGTTAAGAAGTCATAGGAGACGGGTGGATCTTTCTGATGAAGAATCTCTTTTGTTTTATATCATTTCAAAGCACCATCACTGACGTAGTTTGAAAGTACTCTAAAAGTGCTGGGTGGAAAGGGTGGTTTTTATCCCCATTCTATATGGGTGGCTAAGCTCAGTGAAGATAAGTCACTTGTCCAAGGTCACACAGTTGATCACTTGCTGATGTGGGACTCTAATGTACATTTTTTTTCTCATTGATTCTGGTATCTTTTCTGTTTCACCATATTGGGAAACGCCCTGAAAAGACTGAAAGGGAGGGAAGGGGTGTGTGTGTGTGGGTGTGTGTGTGTGTATTTTTTCCCTTGGATAATTCTAATTCAATGATTTAGAATGTTAGAGAGAGAGAGAGAGAGAGAGAGAGAGAGAATGGGCAAGAGGAGAAACAGTAAGTCTAGAGAAAAAGAAATGTTTGAATTAAAGTTGAGGTTGCCAGGTTCTGTATGAGAAAGTCTTAGAAGTCCCCACCTGAGTAAGGCTAGTAACTTAAGGGAGAGTGAGGGGTCAGAGTGCTTATGAAGGCTTGTGGGGGTGGGGGGACCACAGGCAAATATAAAAGAGAATAATGAGCTTTGCCAATTAGAGACAAACAGAGTAATTGTGGGTTGACATCAGGAGGCTAATGCAATAGAATAAAATGCTTTTTTGGAAGAGAGAGAATCTGCAGATGCGAGGGAACTAATAAGCAGGTAGACTTTTGGTGATGAGTCCTTGTCACTTATGGCTACCCAGCCTAAGTTACCAATCTGGAGAAGCCCCTGCTTTAGAGATTTGAATAAAGAGGGAGAAGTGCTAAGCTTTGGGTTATGATCTGCTTGCTACAGGGAATAACTCTGCATGGTGCCATTCAAATCAACCTAAGTTAACAGAGAATGTTTTGGTTCATGTGACTAAAAATCCAGGTAGGGCTGGTTTCAGGTGCAGCCTGAACTAGTGGTTTAAATGTCAACAGGCCCCGTGTTTTCCTGTTTCTTTGCTCTGCCTTCCACAAAGTTGGCTTCATTCACATGGGAGCCCCTTGGCAGGTCTGGGTTCTTCCCACCACATTTGCAAAATGGTTGTAGTTGTTCCAGAACTCACACCGTCATCCCACACCATTCAAAGGAACACCCAGTATCTACTGCATTAGAGTGAAAAAGCCCCAGCAAACACCTCCTTGGCTCCAACTGCTTTATGTGCTCATTGGCTTGAGCAAGTTAAGGACCATCTGTGTGGAGCAGTGGAGGGGCCAGTTCCCCACAAATTCTGTGGTTAAAATGGTGAAGCAGTAGCTTTTGAAATGAAATCTAGGGGTACTTTTGCTAGAAAGGAGAATGGATCAGGTGGTTGAGAAATTATGGAACTCTTCCATATGAACCAAAAGGATAAGGGAATGAAATAATTTCAGATAGATTTCCTTGGGGAATTCTCTGAATGAAGGAGCAATTCTTGGCACATGTATTAGGTTAGAGAGTTTGCTAAGAGATAAGAGACATGGTAATAATGTGACTTCAAGAACAAAGGGATTTATTTCTCTCTAACCTAACTAAGGTCTAGCACCTTTTCTTCACACCATTATTCTTGGTCCCCTCTTTCTTCATCATTTCCTGTGCCATCTCTAGGTCTGAGTCGCCATGGGTTTCAACTAGCAGAAATGGGGACGAGAAAGAATGGAGGCAGTGGCCCCCCGTTTTAAGGGCTCTGGGCCGTGAGTAGTGTGCAATGCTCCCTCTCACATTCCATTGATGAAACTTGGTCCATGGCCCTGTGTTACTGCAAGGGCTGCTGGGAAATGCAATCCCTACCTAGGTGACCAGTGACCAGCTTACAAGAAGAGAAGGAATTTTGGTGAGGAATTGATGTTCTCTGTTACAACTCCCAATGATTTCCTAGACGGCTTACCCATCCTGAAGGACGTTCCTATGGCAGATAGCACTTCCTCAGAGAACAGTCTTCCTCTAAGTCCCTTTTGGGAACCAGGAATGCTCGATGGGAACTGTATCAGTTACAGTTAGTTTCAAGGTCATGTGACAGAAAACCTAAAATAACAAAGTGACCTAAGCAGAGTAAACTTTTGCTTTTTTCCCCTTATGTAAAAGATGCCCATCATATTAACGATGCATCATGGCGTCAGGGACTCTTTATCCTACTGTTCTGCCATCTCAGCATTTGGTTCCCTCCTCATAGTCCAAGATAACTGTTTGAACTCTAGCCATTTCTTTACATTTCCTCTGGCAAAAGGAGGAAGAAATGCCTTTAAGGGCACTTCCCAGAAGTCCACACACAGCACTTCCATTTAGACCCCATTAGTCAGAACTTAATCGCAGGGGGCACTTAGCTGCAAGGGAAACTGGGAAATGTAGCATCTCTTCCAGGCATTTCTGAGCCTAGTCCCAAAGCAGAGGTTGTCTTGTTGAGAGAGGAGAACAGACATTGGGCAACAACAGGCAGTCTCTGCAACAGACCATATGACCCTTTGCCATCACTAGATGCCCTCATCTCTGCCCGTGTGTGAGTGTGTGTGTGTGTGTGCGTGCGCGCACGCACACATGCGCACCCATGTTAAATTTTCAAACCCATTTGCGTACTTATCTGAAGGAAAGAAATCATCATAATAGTTGACATGTATTAAATGCATACCAGGTGCCAGGCACTGCTCTGTAGCAGTAGGGATAGAGTCAAGGGAATCAAAAGAGCTCGATGAGGTGCTCAGAGATAAGTAGCAGCAGGAAGGCATGGCTACCCCTGAAAGGGCAAGGGGGCAGACGTGTCACCAAACCAGCCTGACCAGAGCTTAGAGATGTGCAAGACAGGAGGTATAACTAAAATGAAGCCAAGCCAGCACCCCTGCACACCTAGGCAGGAGTGGACCGGGAGGCTCATGAATGCCCTGATCTGTCTCTTCTTCCACCTGGATCTCCTGACAATGTCCCACTTTGGCTGAAACCAACTGGAAGGCAGAGAGCAAGGGCACACAGGGGAAACACTCCACAGAAAACGGCCTCCTAGGAAACAGAGTGGGGCAAAGAAGGGCAGAAAAATGGATTGGGGATTGGGAGAGCAACAGAGAACAACCCACAGTATTATGATGACTTCCTTTTACAGGTAAGGAAACTGAGGCATGGAGAGGGTAGATCACTTGCCCAGCTGGTAAGTGACAGAGGCAGGACCGTCCTGGCTTCAGCTGCATGCCTCGAATGAGAAAGGCAGAGCACACACCACACTTGCCTTGATTGTCTGCACAGCACTCTGTACATAGTAGGCATCCAATAAAGGGTCACCAAATGAAATAATTTGGGTCTGTGTGTTTTGGTATGGAAATAAGCATTTCTTCCTCCTTGCCATGATAGGTTGCAGTCTCAAACCTCAACGAGGCAGTGCAGGATGCAGACCTACTGGTGTTTGTCATTCCCCACCAATTCATCCACAGAATCTGCGATGAGATCACTGGAAGAGTGCCCAAGGAGGCGCTGGGAATTACGCTCATCAAGGTAACTCACCTGACCAGGGCAGGAAAAACATCATGAAACATTAGTTCCCATTTTTCATCTGTTGGAGATAAGGAGCTGAAGGGGAAGTTATGGCATGTTTTTACTTTCTTGTTTGTTTTTGTAAAGATGCCTAGAAGATCATCAAAACCATACATCCCATGAGCCTAACTTAGCTCAAATTTCGGAGGGGGCTGCTTTCTGTCACAGATGTGGTGGTGGGCTCCTCCTGGTGAGCCTTGCTGTCAGAAAGAGCCTTCCCGATCAGTATGTGGGTCTCGGCCTGGGTACTGGAAATCATCAGTGCTTTACATTAGCTGGGAAATTAATCATCATTGGTTCCCATTCCTGGTATAATCCCTAAGGAGGGAGTATTAAACCAGAAACCCATGAACCACCCCCAGAGGTCCATAGACAGAATTCAGGAAAGTCATGGTCTTAATTGTAGGGAAGAACATTTTTATTCATTTTAGCTTCTAAGCGAAATGAGCATTTCCTTCATTTATGAATATAGACCATAAGCCAGAATTTCAATAACAGTAGTATTAGCAGGACCTGGGACCTCTTGTCAATAGAAATTAGACATTTTCACATCACTTTACAGTGGCTTCAGATATCTCAAAGTATTCATGCTCATCACTACTTTGAAATCACAGTAAGACCTGCCATGACATCTATTTCTAATTGCATTAATGAAACAGCACATATATTACTTTATCAAAAAATTTTGTTTTTTAACATTTTGGTAACTGTTTCAAGATAACTGTCTTCCTAGGTAATTTTATGCCTTTGCTTTATGCATATGAAATTCTGAGAATGAGTTCATCAACTGCACCAGGATGCCCAGGGTGGGGTCCACATCATAAAATAGCTGAAGAACCCCCTAGAGAAACTCTGCTCCAGAGTGTTCATAGATGAATATTTATGAAAGCAAACGAACAATTCTATTGTCAGTCAGCAATAGAATGGATAAGTGAAGGGCAGACTGTTCATTCTAGAATACTGCACAGTAGTAAATAGGAGTGAACTCAAGCATTCACGTAGCCACATGGGTGACTCTCTGAAATAACAATGTGGTGCAACACAGTACATCACATGTGAACAGCACAATTCCATTTATAGGCTTTCAGAAACAGGCATACTGACTTAACATATTGTTCAGAGACAGTTACATGTGGCAAAATGATCCAAAAAAAAAAAAAGCAAGGGAGCGGGGCATACGACATTTAGGATAGTGGTTCATCTTGGAGGTGAAAGGAGGATGAACTTGGGGAGAGACACGGGGGACTTCAGGGATGTTGATCATGTTTTGTTTATTAATGTGAGTGTTAATAACAAAATTTTTTTTCATTTTATTGCTATCCTTTAACTAGTACATACACAGTATATATACATGATCTCTTGTAAGAAAAAGATATTTTTCAAGATGCATATGCCATTGGATGTCTGGATCTAGATTATTTATAAAACAGCGATCTCATGCCTCTTGTATTTGATGGTTTGTATTTCCCTAAATTCTTGACCTCCTTACAGGGCATAGATGAGGGCCCGGAGGGGCTGAAGCTCATTTCTGACATCATCCGGGAGAAGATGGGCATCGACATCAGTGTGCTGATGGGCGCCAACATTGCCAACGAGGTGGCTGCAGAGAAGTTCTGTGAGACCACCATCGGTGAGGGCTGGCTGGGGCCTGAGGGCCTGGACATTGGGTGTTTTAACATGTACATTTTCCATTTCTGGTATTTTCCACAGTGGACTCTTGCCTGTCCCCTTAACGTTCCTGAGGTGGACCTTCGGTGAGGTGGGGATTTTATGTAAGGAGGCCATTCTGTGGAACTGAAGTGTTTCAACAGCCTCCAGAATGAAAGTAAAAGCCAAGGAGACCATTTTGACCCACGATGATCCAATGATGAATTGAGATTAAAAGCACAAAAATGCAAGGTTACTCGTACCGAGAAGCAGGTGGTTTCACCCATGGTGGGGCTCACCTGTCCTTAGAAACCCGGCTTTTCCTTATTCACAAATGCCAGTGTCTGGATCCTCTGGGATGACAAGGAGATCTGAATATTGGTGGAAATGATCCTTGTTTTCAGGTGAATAAGCTGAGGCTCAGAGACTAAGTTACCTGCCCTAAGGTCATACAGCTAATACAGAACCAAGACATGAACTTGGGTCTCCTGTTTCCTGAAAAAGAAAGCTCTTTGTAGTTTCATACAATGTTGATGTTATGAAAAATTTCTTCCTTTTAAAAAAGGCTTAGAAATTGCCAAGTGCCTGTGTACCATATTAAAGGACGCATAGAAGGGTGATACAGTTGTATTTGCAGTTGTTTTACAAGTGTTTAAGTTTATCTAACACTCCAGAACTTACCCCACCCTTGTCAATCAATGTGAATCAATTCTCCCTGACAGCTTTGTAACAAACTCTGAGAGGTCAGGCTCTCTTAGGTAAGATGGGATGCACAGGAGAAGGTAGCCCCTGATTCTGATACATGCCTGCAAGTTAAGACATTTTTACTGTTTTTGCTTTTGTTCCCTTTATTTTTAATTGCATAGGTATTACTTCATTATTGTGGAAAATGAAGATAATCAAGATAACCATTTTATTAGTTCATTTAATTTTCATTATTTTTTTCTATTTGTGCAGACTTGTTTTTATGGTTAAGTTATATACTGTTTTATAATGGCTTTTTTACTTAATATATAATAAACTTTTAACGTCCATCAACATACATCTTCATAACTACATAGTACTCCATCAACATTCCCTTATGTGTGAGCACTTAAAACTGTTTTTTTTTTGAGAAATATTTTTGGAGAAGAAAGGTATCACAAATAACAAAAAACAATAATAATAATATTTAAGCCTATAATAATACCATTTCCCAGATTGATATTTTCAAAAGTGATATAGCCATAGAGAAGAAAAATCAAACAATATGAGAAGGTAAAATTAGATTGATTGTAATTTCCTACTACATCTTCCCAAAGGATCACTGTAAACAGTTTCTAAATATCCTTCCCGAAAAAAATTTACATACGTATATATACTACTCTACATGTAGGTTTTATTTTTTTACAGTTAATTCTTTTATCCACCTGTGATTTTAAGGTAGCCTGTGAAATTGTTATGTAATGGTTTCTGTTTTTCAAAAAAAAATTATCAGCTAGTTATTCCAACTCAATCCTATTTGCCAATGATCAGTTGGCAGTCAGTTTTGCCAGTTAATTGGTTGGAATTGACTGGTTATCCCAATCATTCCTTAAGGCTGAGACCACATCTCTAAATCTTGATTTAAACCTTATGTCTACCTGTAGGTTTTGGCAATGGTTTTTACCTGCCTGCAATGCCTGTTTGTGGTAGGAAAGTTTCCATTGGGGTGCCTTAGGTCTGTTGGTTTGTAAAGACAGGCAAATACACAGAAGTTACACCTGGTTCCCTCTAGCTTCTGTTTACCCAGTGCTTCCTGTGCCTTCGCTGTGGGTTGGACCATGGTTGGCAGGAGTGACCTGAATTAAATTAAGTAAAACGTTGAAAGCAAGATAGAACACGAAGGTGATATTTTCTGAATTGTTTTATATAACCTCATGAATTAATCATGAGGAAATATCAGACAAGCCCAAAGTAAGGGACATGTTACAAAACAGTGGGCCTTCGCGCTTAAAATGTCAATGTCACTAAAGACAATGAAAGGCCTAGGGAAGTGTCACAGACTAAAGAAGATTTAGGGGTGAGGTCATGAAAGACGACATTGCGTAATTGTTGACTGGAATGTGGTTATATGTTAGGTAATTGTATCAACATTAAATTTCCTGTACTTGATCATTGTTCTGGGGTTATCCAGATCTCCTTTCTTGATGATTTTAGCAACCAACTCATTTTTAATTATGGTAGATTCAGGAATCTTAGCCCACTTGAATCTCCTTTGGAGGAAGAAGACAAGATGGCATTGTTTCAGAATCTTGTGTAAATTGTAACTGACATGTGAACTCCGGTGCCCCCTTGTGGTGAGAGTTCCCTTCATTTTGGGGACTGACTTCACAGGATCGAAGGAAGATTCAGTCATCCCACAGATATTTTTCAAAGCCTATTATGAATCGGGCAGGGCTCTAACTGTCGAGGATATATAAGCTCCTTGCAGAGCTTCTAAGCACAGAAACAAAACTAGAATCACGCTGAAATGAGAGTTTTGAAGGAGTCTCATTAAAAAGGTTAATTTTTTTCCCTCAAACTTGGCATGAAGAGAAAGGGGATTTTCCTGCCTTTTGGTTCATATTGAGTTTGGGGCAGCCTTTCCACGCAGCTGTTGGGCGTTACCTGTTCTGTTGGACGTGGTCTCTGGGTCCCTGCTTGCCACATCACTGCTTATGACCGACGATAATAATAGGGTTAGTTGTTTCTTACTCGTGATTTAAAATAATTTCTTAAAGTACATTTGGGAAGAAGTGAGATTACTATAAATCAAGCCCACTTCTCTAACAGACACTGTGTGTAATTTTCAGTCACAGAAGAAACAGCAGACCCCGCCTTGTATTAGTGGCAAATGGAGAATGCACTTCTCCTTGCCCTTTGTCAGGTGGCTCACGGCTGCAGATTCTAGCTGCAGACAGCTGGATTAAAGTGACGAGTGAGGGGCTCCTCTGCGATGCTCATAACACTCTTGCATTTTGGAGGCCAGCGGACCGGCGAGGGACAGAGGAGAAAGATAGTAATGATGTCATGATGTAGAGGCTGGGGGCTAGTTTACCCAAACCAGGTGATGAAGCTGTTGCACAGAATCACCCAGATGGTCTGGTGGACTGTTTAAAAAAGGAAGAGGACAGTTTGTTCAAACTGACATGGTTCCAGTATTTGGAAAAAGGAGAACTCAGCCAACTAATAGATAATAGCAATGCCTGTAGAATAGAAAATGTGTTTCTAGGTATTGGGCATAGATATTTTAAACATTTTGTCATGGAAAATATCCTTGAAAAGAAACGAGTAGGTAGAACAGTGTCAGGAACTCCATGTACCCCTTGCCCATATTTAGTCTTCTTTCATCTGTATCCCCACCCTCTCTCTTCTCTCCCCTGGATTATTTTGACATATTACTTCTGGGTGTGATTTTAATGGTTGACAATCTTTTATTTTTTGCATTGGAAAAATGTGGCTCTAATTGTGATGTTTGTTTTTTGCTGGTTTATTTTCTCTTTTCCCACCCCTGAGAGGCTGCATAGCATGGCATAGAGTGTCAGAGCATGAGATCTGGGGTCAGGGTATGTGGGTTGGAATTTGAGTTTTGCCTCCTTCTAGCTGTGTTACCGTGGGCAAGTTGGTAAACTTCTCTAGGCCTCCTGTCTCTTAAATGGCAAAATCATCGTCATAAGCATGTAACTGTCAGCTAGCCTATCATTATCATATAGGACCTTGAGTGCTCATTACAATTAATAGCCTGTTTTCACACCTGATTCTTATTTAACTTCACAGCAGTCCTAAGAGAGTCATAGTGTTTTATTCATGAGGAAGCTGAGGCTAGAGGTTGTAGCAAAGGTTTGCAAACTTCTGTCCTTTGGAATCACCTGGAGAGCTTCAACAATTACTAATGCCTGCTCTATCCCAGAGACCGATTTAATTAGTCTAAGATGTGGCCTGGGCTTTGGTGTTTTTCAAGATCCGTAGGTGATTGTAACGTGCAGACAAGCTTGGGAACCTGGAGGCAGGCAGAGCCCCAGTACTGTAGTCCTCTGAGCTTTCTGGCATCTGTGTGCAGTCATTCACTGATCAGGAAGCCAGGACTTGGTGAGTTTTATCATCCTGATTTCCAGAGCTGAGCCCCACCCCTCCCCGCCTCCCCCCACGAACCAGAGTGAGTTTCACATCAGGCTTTATATAAGTAAAGTTTTATTTTGTTTGTTGTTGTTTTTAACCCAAAGTGCTGAAACAGACAAACAAAAAATGCATGAAAACTACTGAGCATCCATCTCATTCCAGGCACTGTCCCAAAGGAGGAAATATAGCAGTAGCAAAAGCAAGTCCTTGGAATGCATTTCCATATTCCACAATGTAGTCACTGCAAATATTTGTAGATGTTGTATCGGTTCCTTATTGCCACAGTGATGCTAAGTAACAACAATCACAGAATCTCAGTGGCATACAAAATATGCATAGCTAACACATCTGTGGGTACATTGAGGGACAGCTGGGTTGGCTCTGCTTCACATATCTGTCATCTTCCTGCTGGGCCCCGTGAGCTAGCCGGGATATGTTCTCACAGTAAAGGCAGAGGTACAGGGCAACCAGTCCTACTGCACAGTGGGCTCAAGCATCCACTAATGTCCCATTAATCAAAGCAAGTCACATGGCTGAGCCCAAAGTCAGGGATGAGGAGATATACCCCACTTGCTGTGAGTTCAAGTACATCATGTGGTCAAACCTAACATCTGTAGAAGGGTACACTCATCCTGGGGAAATGAGAGGGTGAATGGTTTTGAATGATAATCTATTACAGACGTAAAATAAATACAGAAGTTTATAAGTGTTTAGGGTAACAAAAAGTTGCAACAATTTCAGATTTTAAACACTAGAAAGATACTTACATAAAATAGATGTACACAGTAAAATACAAAGTAACTGTTTAAAGTAATGTAGGAAAGATATGCTGTCATTGGAAATTATTCATGCCATAAAATGGGAGAAAGCAGATTATGAAACCACATATACATTATGTTCCCAGTTTTGAGAAAAACTATGTATATTCATATTTCAGTAAGTTAAAGATGTATGCCAAATGTTAATGATCGTCTGTGGTGCAATTGTGGAATATTTTTTACCTTCTATTTCTACTCTTATGAATTTTATATACTTTGAACATATGTTCCTTTTATAATAAGAAAGTTATTTTAAACTGTTAGATGTGAAAATTAAGATTAGAGACTGTTATTAATTTCCTTTTCTTTAACCTTTCAATAGGCAGCAAAGTAATGGAGAATGGCCTTCTCTTCAAAGAACTTCTGCAGACTCCAAATTTTCGAATTACGGTGGTTGACGATGCTGACACTGTTGAACTTTGTGGTGCTCTTAAGGTGAAGTAAGCCTCGCCCCCCTGCTCCCCCAACCCCCCCCGTTAGTCTTGCACAGGCACTGTTAGCACTGACTCTAAACCTGAAGAATGTGCTTTGTGTTCTATGCATTTCCTTCTGGGAAGAACAGTGAATTGAGAGCCTTGTTTATCACTTTCTGCTTTGCTTCAGCCTTTCCTGGGTGGTTCCAGTTTCTCCCTCCCTCCTGGTTTGGTTTTACTTATAAATCTGGGAGGATTGTGGTGTTTTGTTCTTTGGGAAATTGGCAGCATTGAGATTTGGGAATCATGGAGACCGCCTTGATTGTAGAGTTTTACCTGGGAGCAAAGTCCTCTATTAATTTATATATTTCTCCTACATATGATCTTGATCAGAAAAAGAAACTCGTTTCCTCTGAATCAGGCTGCTCTCTTGGTTTGATGGTTCGCTTTCTTGTTCTTTTTAAAGGAAAACATAGTCTGCTGCTTATGGAGGTTTTTCTACGCATAGTTTTATCTCAGAGAAAAGATCAGATTAAAGAATCAGCTTCTTTCTGTTGGCCAGGAGCCTAGGAGGGTAAAGGGAAATTTCCACACTTAGGCTCCTGACTTGCCTCCGCCTTGTGAAGACTCCATCAAGGTCCCTGCTCCCTATCCTGACTCTGGGAAGCAGCCAGCGGGAGATGGGCTGCTGAGTCATTTCTTTTGTAGCGAAAGCTGCTTTTCAGGAATTTGAGCGCCTAGGGAAGGAAATCAGGTCATCTGGCATTCACCTCACTTTATTAGGTAAGATTTGCAAAGATTTAAAAAAGGCCAAGGAGATCAAAGTCCAAAGAATTTAAAACCACTTTCAAGAATTTATATTGTGTGTCTATCTGTGGTCACAAATCCCTATGCAATGAGAATTTTAAAAATTAAAGCCAATCAAAGACCTGGGCTCCCAGGCAGCACGTGTCTATATTTCTAAATGCTTGTGTGGGGTGTTGTTCTTCACATTTCAGGCAAGCCCTGTTATGCATTTAAGATGCTGGCTTTGGCTGCTTTGTTTATTTTTGTTGGTTGGGATTTTTATGTGTTTTTAATAGCCCTGCATTAGTTTAATGACCACTCGACAGCAGGGGCGTCCTAAATGCCTAATTGCTGAGCACTGGTCTGTGTCACTCCAGAGCTGCTTTTGAGTGACTGGATATTTTTGGTGGTGGACAGGGAAGCTGTGAGATCCTGCCCAGTAGAAAGGGTGATGGGGGAGAAGCAAGATTCTATAATGAGGGCCCTGGAAAATCTCTGCTAATGGGACCCCATGCTATTCTTGTGTCTGAGCTTAGAAAGGCTTTGCATTTTTGTCAGCAGGAGGCCTGTGAGTGGATTTGCCCCTGCTACCATGACAGAGTGGTTCATGGGGCAGATGGGGGTTGAGGATCATTTATCATTTTCCCCCTGGGTATCATTTGAAACAGGATACATCAGCATCATTCCTGTCGGCTTGCATCAGAGCTGGGACTTTTGAAAACTGAGAAACAAGCACTTCAGCAGTAATTGAGTCTAACCATTCCATCATACAGACAAGGAGATATAATTAAGATTTGGGATTCTCCAAAGAGAATAAATGACTCAAACAGAACAAATATTGGCACAGAGTTTGAATGTGGGTTTCAAGAATCTTAGTCCGGTATCTTTGGTTACTATATCCAGCTTGGCTGCTCTGGTTCCTGTCCAGGCAGTTGAATAAATTGAAGCACTCCCTGTCAGAGCCTGCCAAAGCAAGGGCAAATTAGCATATGTTTGTTTTATTACATAATTAATTGTCGTTTTTTTTTCCTGATTGTAAAAGTCACACATTTCACATAACAGAAAGGTGTAAAGAAAGTGAAAGTTATCAATAAGCTTTACATCCTGAGATAACCAGTGTCAGGGTTTGTTGTATACTCTTCAAATTGTTTAGCGAGTGTGTTTCCCCTTTTTAAAACAAAAACTAGATCTTTCTGTTCAAATAGTTTGTTTTGACAAGTTTTACCCTTTTCACATTAACAATCTAGTAACCTTCATACTAGCAAATTTTAAAATATACACTGGTTTTTTGTGTGTGTGCTCAAAAACATGAGGACATTTGGGGGAAAAAAAAAATAGAAAACTCCACTACCTACGAGGATAAAAATAAAAAGAAAATTGAAAGGAATTATGCAAAACCATTTTGTACCAGTATGTCTTAACTGCTTTCAGAATGTCCTTCACCTCATAACTATGTTAATCTCTGAGTCAGTAAGAGAATATTTTTTAAATATCAACTTTATTTAAGTATAACTCATGTACATTGTACTGCTTCCGTTTAAGGTATATAATACAGTGGGTTTCAGCACTTGTGTACATGCACCCTGAAAATTACCATCACAATATAGACCATTTTCATCATTCCCAAACAATTGCATAGTCCCTTTGCAATTCAAACCTCCTGCCCCACCCCAGCCAGGCAGCCATTGATCTGCTTTTATGCACTATAGTTTGCATTTCCTAGGATTTTTATAATGGAGTTGTACCCTTCTGTGTCTGGCTTCTTTCACCAGTGGTGTATTTTTGTTTAATGTAAATTTTAAGAGGTACTTCATACAGAAAAGTATAAAAACCACAAGAGTACAGCTTAACCTGTGTTATTGTTTTAAATAGATGCTTTATGAGGATTAAGTTTCTTTAACAGAGACCCAAAGTAATAGTGGTTGAACAGGCAGAAGCTTATTCCTCATGTATAAATCCCGAATCCATATGACAGCTCTATTACACAGAATTCTCAGGGACCCAGGCTCCTTGCAGCTCACAAGGATACAGCTTTGTCCTTGTGGAGGAGGAAAATTTTACTCTACCCCTCTAGGTTCTTTTGGCTGGTGTAATAATTAAATTAACACGAGAAAATAACAAAATTTAATTCTATAAGTACATACGGGAACCTCACATACATGAGAGGTTCAGAGACAGAAAGGGAAAATGAGGTATATTTGACATCCTGAGGTAATGAATGAGGTAAGACACCTGGGGTTTCAGAGGGGAGGAGAGCAGTTTGCAAGACAATTAGAGCAGATGTTCAGCAATTAGCTACTTGCCCTGCCCTATAGATAGGTCATAAAAAGTTATTTCTGGTGATAACTCTTATTATAGGTAAAACCCCAGTTTAAATTATTTAAGGGAGAGGTAAAAGTTTCTTTCAAGCCCACAGGGTGTCAGTTGCCTTCAGCTCAAAATAATCCACACATTCACATACCTTTGGGAGGCCCATACTGAACCCCTTCATCCTCATGTTCTAAGGTGGCGACCAGAGCTCCAGCCATCACATCTTTCTTCCAGATAGCAAGATAAAAAAAAAAGAAAGGGCAAAGAGCATGTGGCAGCTATCTTCTTAAGGCAAGTTCTGGGAAGTCACAATGTAATATTTTGGCTTTATCTCAACAGGCAGTACTTAATTGTGTGACCATACCTAGCTGCAAGGGAGGTTGGAAAATAGTTCCCGCCCCCTCCAGTAGCCATATACTTGCATGAAATTCAGGGACTCTCTTACTCTGGAAGAAGGAGAGAATAGATTGGGGGGGTAAATGTATAACCTGCACAACAAGGACATGATGTTCCTGTACAGAGCTGTCTGTTGTGAGGTTAACCAACCATGACTGCCAGGTGTGTAGGTTTCCTCCAAGTCCTTGGCTTTGATAAACCATGCTGTGATGACAGCCTTGTGCCTGTTCTCTAGCCAGGGCCACTGCCAGACCCTATCAGCCATGTAGCTATTCGCATTTATATTTGAATTGATTAAAACTTTTTTAAAAATTTAAATTTAGTTTTTGAGTCATAGTAACTCCGTTTCAAAGACTCAGTAGCCACATGAGTCTTCAGTGAGTCTCAGTGGCTAGTGGCTAGCTGCTCTACTGGATAAGCAGATATAAAACATTTATACCATTGCAGAAACTTCTACTGGATGGCACTGTTCTAGCTAAGGGAGCATATCAGAGGGTCGGGTCTGGTGGGCCAGGTGTGGGCTTGACCTCAGCCCTCCTTGGCCACCTTACACAGGGCCCAGCCTGCCAACCATATGTGGTACCCGACCTGTAGGAAGCCCACACTCTGCAGACAAAGCTTCCTCTTACGTCAAATGCACTAGGAGCTGCCCTCCAAAAGAGTCAGCTGGATTGTTGGACATACAGAAAATAGTGAATGGCTTGGTTTCAGTGGCGCCATCCTTCCCACATGGTGAGTGCTGGTGTAACCCAAAGGCAGCACTGGCTGCTTCTCCAGTTTTATATTCTTTATGTGGGAGGATAGGAGCGGAAGGAATTGAGTCCTGCCTAACCCGCCTCGATTCAGAATTGTGAAGGTGGCACTTTGGCGTGGATGAATGCCTCAAGTATTGCCAGAACCCAGGAAACGGGGAGGGGCTGAAGCACGTCTGTCTTCTGAAAATCGTGCTATTTTTAGCTCCAGAACAGTTTAAAGCAGATTTAAATGCACAGTGGATAATGATAACTTTCATAGCTGAGCGATCTCAGAGGACATCTGCTCAAATGCTATTCGAACATGATCTGACTGGCTCTGTGTGTTTATTTTTCTTTTGACAGTGATAAGTGGCGGAGGGAGAGAGCAAGGATTTCAAGATCCATCATAAGGCGATTAAACTGGGTTGGAGCCCAGGGTCCCCTCAGAAGGGAGTTTACCCTGCAGTAGCCCCCTGTCTCTCCCTCCCCTGCCCCACCCCCGCCATGGGGAGGTTATAGGTCTAATGAATACGGTGAGGTGGTCTCAAATCATGTGCCCAGTGGTGAAGGGGCAGAGAGAGTAGCTGGAGCCCCCAAGATAAGGGAGCCATAGGCACCCTTATCTGCCTTTTCTCCACATGCAGTGACATGAAAGGTCAAAAGTACTGCTTTGGAGCCCTGGGTTCATCCTTACAGCTCCTATTTGGATGCTTCCAGTGACTGAGAGCTCACTCCTTTGTCTCCAAGTCTTTTCAGCTGAATGGGGTCAGTTCTTCCTGTTAGAACGTTCTTATCTTGACACTGAGGTGGCTCCTCTGCGCCTTTCACTCGCTGGGTAGAGCAGTGTGGTGTGATCTATTCCCTGGAGAGGACTCGGAAGCTAGGCTGCCTGGGTTTGATACCCAGCTCTGCAGGTCCTGACGGTGTGACCCTAGGCAAGCTACATACTCTGCGTGCCTGAGTTTCCTCACCTCTCACTGTGCATATATAGGACCTGCCTTGTAGGAATGTTGTGAAGATTAAATGCATTGATAATACATGACACACTTAGAACAGTTCAATAAGGTTAACTGTTATTTTTATTATTTCTCCCCATAAACCGTTTCTCCTCCTGGGCCTATCTTTTTACCTCCCAAGCCTCCACACGGGCCAGCCAGGCTCTCCTCTCTGGCATCTAATTGCAGAGGGTTCAGGAAGGTCTCTTTGACCCAGGGCAGGTAGGGGTGGCCAGGCCAAATTTGCCACATGGTGGAAGCAGCAGGGAAGAGTGGGGCTGTGGAAGCAGGTTTCGGGATCATGTCCCAGCTGCCTCACTCACCAGTGAGGTGTTCCCGGCAAGCCACAAACCTCTCTGAGCCAGACAGGAGGACAGATACACCCTTGTCAGGGTCATTGCAGGAATTCCAATGAGACTGTGTGCACGGGACCTGGTGCGGCTCACTGAAGTCACTTCATAAACAGCTCCTCTCCCATCCGTGTAAGGAGCTCCTTGTTGAACAGAAGTCCCTATTATCTTCCCATTCAGTCTGTAAACATTTACTGTGGTTGTCAGGTAACCTCCAGAAGGGGTCACCTGTGTGATGGAGGGGGACACGGGGACACAGTCCAGGAGGCATCAGAGAACAATTTCAGCAATTGAATCATTTGGATCCTAGGTCTCGTCATGTTGCCGTGGTCACTACAATACAAGGCCCAAGCCCTGGGTGTTCTCACAGTCCCCGGCTCTTAGTCTCTGCCTGGTGTTCCACCTCAAAGGTCCAGTGTCCCAGCCCCTCTGGAGCAGAGCTGCAGAACCAGGTCCCACCTCGCCCCTCCGCATCTCTCAAGGCTCCTTTCCCACTGCCTGGCCCCTCTCCGCTCACGCTGCTGCCAGACACTGAGTGCACCACAGCAGGAGTCGCCCACTTCGTCATCGCCGTGCATACCCAGCAGGTAGCTGGGGATGGATGCTCGCTGTCAGGGAGCGGATGAAACCTACAGTGAGCATCGCCTGTGTGGCGGGCAGGGGTTGAGAAGCTTTTGCAGGTACAGGCAGAAGTTCGTACCTTCTGAAAACATGTGCTCCCTGGTCAGGCTGTTAATCCAGAAGGCCCGAGTCCTCATCACCTCTACCTGCAGCTGCAGGAAGCGGGATCTACACGGAGTCCGGCCTCGTGGGGAGAGAGCGGTCCACTTGGAAGCTACCTCAGTGGTCTGCTGGAGCTCAGAACCTCCCTAGGAGACTAGACACAGAAATAGCATGAATTCGTCTAAAACCCGCACGCATTCATGTCCGCTTTCTGGTTATTCTTAGAGAGTTTTTTCCTTTCTGTGTTGATAGCAATGAGAGGAATCGCCAGCAACCAGAATAAACTGTAGTATTATTACTGAGGAAGAGAAGAGACAGTTAGGGCCCTTGCCACTCTGATTCCGCCTCTGGCCCCTTCTGCTGTCACCCTGTGGAAGCAGAGAAGGGTGGGTTCTGTCGATCAGGAGACAAAAGCTTCGGGAGGGCTCTTCAGTTTTTTGTCATCCGAAGTGGCTCTGTGCCTTCGGTCTCCTGGTGAACAACAGCTGGGTTTAAGTGGCTAGATCTGTTTCTCAGGTTGAGCCTGGCCACCTCCATGCTGTATTTGATGTATTTTATCAGAAATGGCGCATCAACTAGAGAAGACTTTTTTCTTCCCCAGCTTGTTCCATTTTTCACCTCATCCCTTAGATTTTATAGGCCTGATGTTTCTGTCTTTTATTAACAAAACTATTTTTCTGGAGGAAAAATAATATATACTTATTTTTACTGATTGCCCATTTGTTACCAACTAGCTTCATGTTTTAATATCTCTCAAGGCATAAATCCATATACAGTCACCAGGTATTATAGAAAAATGCTAATGTGGTTGGACAGAGTTAAATACTTACATTTTTCCTGCCATCAAGAGTTCTTGGTGAAGGAGCTGGTAAAGTAGAAAAAAAAGGCCAGGAACCTGAGGGGTGCACCCAGTGTCCCAAATGAGTGCCCTCTGTGCTACCATGCAGGCATTACTTGTCATATGCGGTTATCTGATTTTACATTTGATTTCAGGCCCCGCTCAGATGCTGCCTCCTCTGTGCAGCCTTCCCTGCTTTGAAATCAAGCTTGTGGCTCTCACCCCTTCTCTGTAGTCTCTCTTCCTTCCATCTCCTGATGTGCTTTGCTGTTTGTCTTTTCCCAACTAGATTGCCAACTCTTTGAGAAGAATCTGTCTGCCTTTGCAGCTCCTCCCTGGGGGTGCACCTGACCCCTACCCCCACCCAGTACCACCCTGCCCTTTAAGGCCTAGTTAGGACTTCCCACACAATGCATGCTCAATCGAAACACATGGATTAAAATGAAAATCAGATTTTCAGTCACACATTACAGTTATTTGTGCACACGTCAAGAGTCGGCAATCTTTTTCCACGAGGGCCATAAGGACCAAATGTTGTAGGACTCTGGACCATATGGTCTCTGTCACAGCTACTCAAATCTGCTGTTACAGCACAAAAGGAACCACAGACAATACATTAAATGAACAATGTACCTAAGTTGCAATAACATTATTTACAAAAACAGGCAATTAGCCCTTAGTGTGCTGATCCTTGAACTAGATTATAAGCTTCTAAAGAGGCACGTCTGTATCTGATCTGCCCTAACAGAGTGCCATGCAAAGAGTAAGTGCTCCACAAATGCTTAAGGATTATTAAATAAAACAAAGGGCTGAAATTTGAGCTGTACATATGCAGACACAGTAACTTAGCAATTCTGCTCCTAGGTACATACCCAGCAGAAATGCCTGCACCAAAGGATATATACCTCGGTGTCCTTAGCAGCACCATTCGTGACAGCCCCAAACTGGAAGGTACCCCAATGCCAGTCAACAGAAGACTGGATAAATATATCGTACTACGTTCACACAGTGGAATATAGTGCAGCAATGGAAATAAATGTGCTTTGCGTATGGCCAAATCTCACAAACATGATGTCAAATTAAGACAAGCTAGACAGAAAAGATTAACATACTGTATGATTCTATTCATATGTTTAAAGACAGGTAAAGCAAATCTGTGCTGTTACAAGTCAGGAGGCTGGTCACTTTTGTTGGGGGAAGGAGGGTGACTAGAAGGGCATCTGAGGGGGCTTTCTGGAGCACTGGTTACGTTCTGTTTCTTGGTCAGGGCACTGGTTACATGGGTGTGTTCAGTTTGTGACAATTCATGTTGTATACGTATCATATTTGCACTTTTTCGTATAAATGTTATATTTGAATAAAGTATTTGATTTTTAAAAAAGCCAAAAGGGAAAGAAGTTTGTCCAAACAGTATTTAATCAGAGACCACCCCCAGTGTTCTAATTTTCTGGCTAATGCGCCCCAACTGCTGCCTCCTACTGACCCCAGATCTGGGCTCCTTGTCCTGCAAATGGGACTATAGAAGCCTGGTCCCGCCTTTCTTCTCTCTTACTCCAGGTACAAGAGCAGAGCCCAGAGTCGTGCGGGAACCAGTGGCGGTCCCTGCCTCGGCCTCTCCCCCAGCTGCCCCGCACCCTCATCTGCACTGGTGTGTGACGGCATCCTGGCTTCTTTGTCGTTTTCGCAGAACATCGTGGCGGTGGGAGCTGGGTTCTGTGACGGGCTCCGCAGTGGGGACAACACCAAAGCAGCCGTCATCCGCCTGGGGCTCATGGAAATGATCTCCTTCGCCAAGATCTTCTGCAAGGGCCAGGTGTCCACGGCCACCTTCCTGGAGAGCTGCGGCATTGCCGACCTGATCACCACTTGCTACGGGGGCCGGAATCGCAAGGTGGCAGAGGCCTTTGCCAAGACTGGAAAGGTAGCCCCTGGCCTGCCCTCCCTGCACCCCTCCCTCCTCATTTGAGACCCCTGGGCTGGGGCGAGCCGCAGTCCAATGAAGACGAAGGCTGGTATTTGTTTGCTGGGTTGTCCTGTTTACCTGTCTGCTTTTACTTAAAGGTACTTGAGTCTTTGTCCTTTGTCTTGTATGTCTTTATCTTTCCTGAGCTTGCGGCAAAGGAGTGCAGCATCCTTCCCCTACTCTCCTCTCAAAATAAGTGATTCTCTAGTCTTTACCATAGGTTTTGTTTTCCCCCATCCTTTGTTTTTAAGACCATTGAAGAATTGGAGAAGGAGATGCTAAATGGGCAGAAGCTCCAGGGACCTCAGACTTCTGCTGAAGTGTACCGCATCCTCAAGCAGAAGGGGCTCATCGACAAGTAAGTCACCCATTGACCATGAGACCAGAGAAACAGTCATCATCCCACTTCTGTTGTGACCACAAGCCCAGTCAGTGCACATGAGCACAGCTACTTGATGAGTATATGCAGAACTTTACAGGGTTAATTCTGTGCTTTGTGTGACATGAACATTTGTGGCAGGAAACAAGTGCTTACACAAACCCCAAACCAGGCCCAACTCCAGGGAGAAGAGCTCAGTTCTTCGTATTACAAAATATGAAGTTTACAATTCTGGTTTGTCCTACAGGGTGTTAGGTAAGAGCTACATGTCATAAGTTTTAAATTAAAAAAAAAAAAAAAAGGTCGCTGCATTGTTTTTTTATAAAAAGATAGTCTTGTTAATGAACTGCCAAATGATTCAGAAAAGGAGGAAAGACAGCACCAGCAGTGACCTGTGTTAAGGCTTTGCGAGCAGCCTGGCAGTCTCTTTGTCGTGCGGATGGATGGAGGCATCCAGCCTCCACTGCCTTTCTGGGCTGGTCTCAGAAAGGTGGCCTTGGGTCAGCTTGATTTCCCACCTGATCGAGGGAGTAAGCCCTGTAGCACCACAAAAGCTGCCCGGCCTCCCTGAGGCTGTTCCTGGTCCTGCCGGCCTCACAGGCCTTTATCTTGCTGATTGGTCGAGCCTTCCTTCATAATCACGATGCTAGTTACACCACCTAATAAATGCTTATGCAGCATATTCTGTGTATCCGTAACTCTCCGTAATAGTCTTTGGTAAGTTTGGTTGCCTGGGAGAGTATGGAGCTGGGCATCTATATTGATGCTTCCAGGAGGTGGGTGATGGGCGGTATCTCTCTGGTTGCATCTCCCTCAGCCTCTCAGGTCAGCCCAGGTGTCTGCTGGTCCCGACCACGCATCTCTACCTCACCTTGCACCCAGCTCTCCTCCTCTCTTTACCCAGTACAAAGGGATCAGCCATGGAGTTCCCTATTGGAAGTGGAAAATGAAGGAGGACAGGGCATTTATTTTTCTTCTTCAATTTGCATTTTATTTTTTTGTAATGGCTTTCAAAACCAGCCAGGCAGAGAGAGAAGTCATAAACAAGCCTCCAGAGCAGGAGAATTACCTTTAAATCGTGACTAAAAGGAAAACACCTCTGACATGCATGGTTTTCCTCACATACTGAACAGCGGACAGTGATGCATTTGTGTGTGGTTGGGCTACTTTAATCACCATTAAATCTTTATCGGGAATTTGTTTAAAATCTTAAAAAAAATTCCTGGGTGTTTGCTAATGATTCTCTCCCAATCACAATTTTGAAGTGGCATCTGTGTGCTCCCAGGGGGTGCCTCGGTTAGGATTTTACGAATCGACAAGTTGGCTGGGAGTTAGTCTGTGTTCATCCTTTGTGTCTCTCCGGAAGGCTGCAGACTGGACCTGGCATTCTGGGATCAGGACCCACCTGTTTTAAAAAGCAGGTAGAATCAAGCGGGTGAAACTTGGCTCTGAGCTGACGCCTCAGGTCCCAGTCATGTCCCATTTTCTGTCTTCTGATTAGAAGTTGAACAGGCTGTGCCTGTGCTTAGTGGGGTAACTGCCATTTGGAGTGGGGCGTCTCCCTTCACTGCACCCGCCTCCGAGAGCTGCACAGGCAGAGCCAAGTTCTGCCATTTTCACTTTTTACCACCTCCCACCTTGATTTTTTTTTCTTTTTTCATTCCAGTCATCACTACTCTGATTTTTCTCTATTTCCTTCTCTCCTCTCTTCCCTCCTCCAGGCCACCTCATGTCTTACTCATCATGTGGTCTTGGGCAGGTTATATTTTTAGCTGTTTGATGCCCCAGTCTTTTTATCCACAAAATCACTCTGATAGACCCGTGATTGCCATGCCATGTCCTTTCTACCTTGAGCATTCAAGTTCAGAGACCTCCCGCTCTTACAGAATGTGGTCAGCAGTGCTTAGGTTGTCAGCTGAGGCAGCCCCTCTCAGTCCAGTGCAGGTATACCTTGTTTTGTTACACTTCACAGAAGTTGCCTTTTTCACAAATGGAAGGCGAGACCCTCCACCAGCAAAAAGATTTAGTTGCATGCTTTATCGTAATATTTGCTTTATCGTGGTGGTCTGGAACCAAAACCACAGTATTGCCGAGGTATGCCTATACCAACTTGGCTTTCTAACAGCATGTCCTGTTACCCACTGCAACACCTTTAGTTGAAGTAGACTTCCCTTTGCCCCAGACACCTCCTCCTCAGACTCCTGTAGTGTCCATCTGTCCTCCTGGCTGGCCTGCTAGGACACCCTCCTTTATGTACACTTCAACCCTCATCACCCTAAAGGCAGTTCTGTCTTCACAAAAGCCTTCATCCATGTCCTACAGCCACAAATAACGTCCCTGCATTGAACTTACTGTTTAGACTAGTAGTCAGCAAACGTTTTCTGTGAAGAGTCAGATAATAAATATTTAGTGTTTGTAGGCCACTTACGGTCTCTGTTGTTTCTCCTTTTCCTTCTCCTTCTCCCTTCTTCTTTCTTCTTTTTCTTTTTTCACTTTTAAAGCCCTTTAAAAAATGTAAAAATCATTCTTAGCCTGCAGGCAGTACCAAAACAGGTCACAGGTCAAATTTGATTCTCAGGCCGTGGCTTTCCGACCCTTGGTTTAGACAAATTGCTACTTGTGCGCTGTGGATTTATTACATAAACATGCAGTTTACTTTTATTCTTAAAATTTGAAAAGGGGAGCACATGCTT